GAACCAAAGCTGGGAGGTTCTGGAGCAGAACCAAAGCTGGGAGGTTCTGGAGCAGAACCAGAGCTGGAAGGTTCTGGAGCAGAACCTGGACCTGCAGCAGCAGGAGGAGCCGCTCCTGGTCCTCAGGTCCACTAATGAAACTCCTGAGAGCTAAAGAGGCTCCTCCCACAGAGCCTGGTGAACCAGGAAGTGCTCTCCAATAACTCCGCCCTGCTTGGTGACTGGGACCAGCAGCAGCCATGATTGCTAAACATAAACCTAACGGACCGCAGAGGAGGGGAGTAGGAACGAAGTATTCGTTTTCTGTCCCACATCTGGTGCTTTCTGGGTCATTCTGGAGCAAACCAGTGGATAAACTGGAAAGCTTGAATATTTTATTTTAACAAATAAAACCTTAATCGACCCCCTTTTATTCTGAGACCCTGAAAAAGTGCAGGAAAGGATAAAATCCAGTAGTTAGACTGGAAAACCAGGAGCTGAGGAGGAAAGCAGAGTGATGGCAGAATCATGCTGTTGGATTCCCTTTCTTGTTCTGGGAGAATAACTGCATTTTTATTATTAAAGGAGAAAATATGTGAAACCTCTGATGTTCTTCTGAGCTTCTACCCTGCATAGATCTAGAACACTCTACCTAATGCGGTTCTGTTAGACCCTGGTAAGAGCATCAGATCATCATTTAAAGACGAACTGGTTGGTTTTAGCGGCAGAGGAAGGTCCAACCAGCCTCTGAGGTTCTTGTCAGCAGATGGAAGGTGGTGATTGGCTGGGAGAACGAGGCTCACCGTCTGAGTGGGTGGTCACTCTGACGGTCTCAGAGGCGGTTCCCGGTCCGTACCGGTTGATCGCCAGAACCCGGACCGTGTATTCGGTGAACTTGTTGAGTCCATCCATCTTGTAGTTGAGTCCGCTGACCTCCACACTCTGAAAACAGAGCAGGAATTGAAACAGATCCAGTCAGCGTCCGTCCCACGAGCAGAACCCGTCCAGATGCTCACCTGTTCCTTTCCAGACGGGCTCTCGGTCCACAGCAGTCTGTAGCCCAGGATGGGTCCGTTTGGAAGGCTTGGAGGCTCCCAGCTCACCTGGATGGCGGTCGGGGACAGAGCCAGGGCTCGCAGAGACTCCACCCGGCTGGGGACCTGGACTGTGGGACACAGGGAGACAACACAGCTGTAAGACAGACGGAGAGGCTGGTTGGACCTGGAACCAGTTTAATCAACTGTTAAGCCAACTGTTCATTCCAGCCCTAACTTTGTTTTCAGGTGAACCCAGTGGGATTGTTGGTAAACTTCTAGAAGAATCTCAGATGATTTCTATGGACCAGACACCTTAAGCTCCAGTCCTACAGAAACACCGTCCACCAACCTTTAGACACGTCCCTGAATCTAAAGGACGGCAAGTCTCTGTCCAAAGATAGGGACCTCCTGCCAGTGACCTTCCATCCATCAAACACACACCTGGATCACATCGTTAGCTACCGCTCTGGATCTATGAGGAGTAATCCAGCTGTGTTAGAATGCTAACAGGATCAGATTGATTACTATTGGCTCACAGAAACCTGGCTGCAGCAAGAGGATTATGTGAGCACGAAGGAGGCAACTCCTTCTAGA